TCTCAATCAAATCACAGAATCCTCCCCTACTAAGTGCCCGCCCGATATCCAACAGGTCAGCACACTGTCGCAGGGTTGCTCTGATACCAACTGTAACACCCCGGCCCCGTAGGACCCGAGGTAGTTACTCCAGACCTCTAGTACTGTCCTCACAAACCACCACGAGCTTTTACCGCGCACTTTGTCCTTACTCATGCGCGCCCTGAGAAACTTACCAGGGGGTCACCCATCCCAAGACTACTCCCGTGCAAGCACGCTTAACTTTGGATTTCTTGGGTGATGAGCTTCCTTAAAAGGAGATGCATCTCTATTGGTATGAGTAGTACTATTAGCCCTTTTAAATTAATCTCAAGTGTTACAATTAAACATGCTCATGGATATTTTACTATAGAGCCTGCGTGCTCATGAATAGCCCTGTGTGGCCCTTTTGTTTTAAACAATGTTTTCCGCTGCGTTATGAATTACTTATTATGTTTGTTTATGGATGTTATGTATGTGAATGATATTCAAGACGCCTTTTATATAAAATTGTGCTAATTTTATATAAGCAAATTAGTATTTAGCTTTCATCAGTCAAGATGTATACTATATATTAAGTAAAAACTGTTATTCGTAGTTTTAAATTCTCTGAGATAGTCAACTATAGTTTGTGATGACAAGCTACCGACTATGGATATATAATTTGCTTATTTAAAAAATTAAACACATCTAGCATCATGAAGAATGTTCCACACATATGACTATAGGCTGCAATTTAGACATTTTGTTTCTCTACATTCTTAAACGATTTAATACTACATATTACATGCTCCTCACTTTTTACTATTTTTTTGTGCTGGTAAAAGGGGATAATTGGTAACCTAATATCATTTCTTAAAGTTGATGTCCAAATGATGAAAAATTAGACAGTGAGGAATTATATGCCAGAAAAGGGATTTAGTTGAAGACCAGGATGGAAAATGGAAATAGAACCAAATGATGCACACATGCTTTCTTGCAACTTTTGAATGATTTTATTATCTTTAATGGATGCAGGTACTTTAATTAAGATTCAAACTAACATGTTTCAATGATTTGGTTTTTTAGTGACCGAGTTGCAACTGAAATAACACTTGATCTTCATGTATACTTTGATGTAGCTGGTTGTCAAGAGGTAAGAGCTAAAAGGCTAATACAATAGTATATATCTAAAAAAACGTATTTGAAAATCAATTTGAGAGCTGCTACAATTATTATCATTCTATTTCATAGGCCAAGTCTCCATGTAGCAGGTGTTAAAAGACACTATATATAGCATGTGCAAGTTATCAAGTTATGTGAGCATTCAAAAGGTATTATTTCATTATAGATTAAGTCAATTCTTCAGGATCTTATGGTCATTTAAGTAAATTTTTATTATTACATGATCCATTTTAAGTCAAATTTTGTGAACTCTTATTATAGACTTTCTTTGATCGGCATGAGGAAGAATAACAATCAATTAATGCATGCACAATTAAAAAAATTACACATGATGATCCTAAGCATTACAGTTAGTATCATAGTATGTTAAGAGTTATTTGCCTAAGAGTTAGTTTAATTTTTCTGTTGGAATGGTCCTTTTCTATATTATAATGATATTGTATAGTTTCTATCTTTTCAATAAATTGCTCTTTATTCCAGAGTGTGTTTTGCTATTAAAATATTCTTCACACTGACATTTGAGAGGGTAGTATTTGTTTGACAGTTTAAGAATAGTTACGTACAACTTTTTTCATGCAAAGACGTTGGAGCTTTGCAAAGAGTACTTTCTGAACTATATTTTTTTAGATTCTTGGAATTTCAGGTCATTTAGTTTAAGTGTTATGATAACTCCATTAATCCAGATCTGTACCTACCTCTATATTAATTTAATCAAAAATGGGTGCAAATACATGAATCATTTTAGGTACTTTTGCATTTTCATTGCATTCTTTTTTGTCAACTCTTATTTCAAACTTTCATTTTTGTTAATTTTTATTCCATGCTTTCTTTGATTTACATGGGGAAGAATAACACTCAATCCAATGTAGTTAGAAAAAATACACATGATGATCATCTAAAGGTGGTGTGTGAAATCCCAACATACTATGCTCTATGGTTATGGTGATGAGGAACACTGGATGAAAATGAAGCGATGACACCATGTGCTGAATGTTGAATGATATTTTCTCAAGAACGCTTCTCCGGATGATGAATGTTTTTTTTTTAATTTGAACATATATTTTAGTTTGAATAAACATGTAGCTTATTGAATGTCATGTACATGAGCTACTTAGCTATTTTCTAGTTAGGTAATCGATTGATGTAATTAGCAAATGTTTGATAGATATATGTTAAATTCAAATGGGGATATTTATAAATTGTTACATTGGTTATATATTCAATATATTTGTGTCCATATTTCTTTGTTTGCGTATGTATGGGTATATGAATTAGAGAATTACATATTTGTGTGGCTCATAATTTACATAAAGTGTTACATTAGATAATTAATCAGGGTATGCGTATTTTCAAAAAACCGTTACATCTGTGCAAGTTTAGAACTGTTACATTTGTAAATCTATTGTAACATTTGTGGTATGTTGTGAAGACTGTTACAGTTGGTCGTAAATTTTGTTACAAGCCGTTACATTAGAGCAAATGCAACGCGAGCGAATGTAACGCCGGGAAACTATTACATTAAGTCGAATGTAACGGTATTTTGGACCAAAGGTCACAAATTCGACCGTTACAAAAGATCTGAAAATGTAGTAGTGCCCGGTGGTGGTCCGGTGGTGGCCAGTGGTGGTCCGGTGGTGGTCTGGTGGTGGCCGGTGGTGGCCGGTGGTGGCCGGTGGTGGCCGGTGGTGGCCGGGGGTGGTCCGGTGGTGGTCCGGTGGCGGTCCGGTGGTGGCCGGTGGTGGTCCGGTGGTGGCCGGTTGTGTCCCGGCGGTGTCCCGGTAGTTGGGTATTGAAGATAAATGATAACAAATTTATAAAAACTACTCCGGATGTTTTGTGGATTTCAGAATTATGTTTTCGTTTTCTAAAAACATTTACAAAGATTATGATTTTGGAAACAAAAACAAATTTTTACCAAACGTGTTTCTGTTTTTTTCTAAGGAGAAAAAACAGAAATCGAAAAACAGAAACGTTACCAAACGCACCCTTAATCTCTAGTTTTATATAAATATTAAATATAATTACTAAACCGATATTGATGTTATAAATTTATTATAGAGTTACTTATTTACATGAATTAGATTTAATATTTTATAAAGATCAATTAGATTTAATTTAATTGATGTGTTTCTGAAATAGTTATACATCTATTAATGTGATGTTTTACACTATTAGAAATTACAAATTAGAAAATCGCATTTAATACGTTAGAAACGCTAAATATAAATAATATAATATGTTACTTTAGGTAGTTAAATAAAATGTATTAATTTATTAAAAAGTTAATTGTGATGTATTTTGATAAAAACTTTGGGTTTGTTTACGAGAATATTACTAAAATAAAACTTATTTACATAAATATGACTATTCATTACTACAACGTAGTGTTGTGGTAACTAAAGTTCAAAACTTGAACATGAATTACTATGATTTCATTACTACTCTAGTAATGAATCATATTTTTGTAAACCATCTTTATTTTGGTCATGTTTACGTAATTATTTCAAAAACTTTTATTGAAAGAGATGTTTAAAACTAGAGGTAGGCGCGGTCCGGAATGGTTCAAGAAATTAGTCAAACCCGTTATGTTTCTGTGAGGTTTCTAACGGTCCGTGTACGGTCCAGTTCTAAGGAAGGAACCATTCGGTACCATATTGTTTCAGAACTGTACAAAATGGTACGGTACAATGCCAAATGCATGCTAAAAAGTTGGACAAATCTCGCAATTTGTAAATATTGTCTTTAATTTACTAATTAAATTCATAAGAAAATATAAAAGGACATCATCAAATTGTTGAATATAATAGAAAAATTCAACGTTCTTCCTTTGTTCTGGGTTAAGTATTAATTCTAATATAATTTATAGTTGAACCGTGAGAGCTAAGTTTTAAACCATATTAATTAAGTTGCAAACTTGCACAAACATGATCCAACAAAAAGTCATATACAGTTATACACTACATTACTAGAAATGAATAGTAATTAATGTTTTTTAAAATTTTAACATTCTTTCAATACATACAAAAATATAACACAAATTATCTAAAAAGAAAAAATAACAATATACATATAAGCCGGTCAGTACCCATTCCAAGCGGTACGGTTTCGGTTCAGGATAAAAATCTACAGAACCGTTTAAAATTTTAAATACCTGGTATTCAGTGTTATACCATTACGGGCCGGTTCGGTTTGGGTTTTATGCCCACCTCTATTTGAAACTGTTACAAATGAAACTGTGATGGATCTCTTCCAAAAGATAAAAATTGGGCACGAACAAGCTTGATGTTTTTTGTTTACCCCGTGACCCCGCCCCCAATAAATTTGTATCCTGGATCCGCCACTGCGGATAATGATACTAGTACCGTTAATATAAAGGTAGAAAGATTGCTCTAGGACATATATACATATATATAGCTAGGCACGTTAATAAAGGGAAAAATTGACAATAATAATCCCACCTTTCACTGGTTTTCTCATAATAATCCCACCTTTAAATAATCCCAAAATAATCTCACCTTTGCACCTCATCTTCTTTCATTGGACCATGACCATGTTTTTTACTCTTTCTTTGAAAATTATACAAATAATCTCACCTTTCACTTTTTAATTATATCCTTATAAATGTGAGATTATTTATATAAGATTTTTTAAAAAGGTAAAAAACTTGGTCAGGGTCCAATGAAAGAAGATGATATATAAGATAGAAAACTTAATTAATGATCTCCCACCTTAATTCCTACGCAATCTCAAGATATATGGCAACTACATACGTATAAATATGTGATCAATGATCAAACTTCATTCATAAACCATTTAATAATCCGTACATCTCGATCGATGTGCTTAAACTTTTTTACAAGATGAATAACGAGGTTAGGGTTAGAAGCATGGACTTCAGCACGGTGACGGACCCAACTCTGGGCATACTGAGTATCCGAATGATCACCCAATCCAACCCGAACGAGTTCACCTTCAACCCTCTCCGCGATTTGCCCTTACTCGGAGACAGGGTTTCCCTCATACTATCCTCCTTCTTCGGCGTTGACCGTCGGTGGGGCAACCCCATCGGCTCTCAGGCGGCTTCCGGCGCTCTCGAGAAACTTGACGGCCAAGACGGCCGTTTCGGATTGCTGGTAACGATGGTGTTAGAAGCCGTCAATGAATCGGCGGAAGCAGAACGGGGGCCACCACCGCGGCCAGCCCCCTTTACGGTGTGGCTTCCCGATTTGAATAACAGTTTAGTTCTGGCTCTTCAGGCGGCGTATGATTATGAAGGCGGTGTTGATATCGGGCAGTTGGGTTTGACGGGAGAAGTTTATGACGGGGAAGACGGCGGCGAAACATGCAGCGTGTGTTTGGAAGGGTTTTGCAAGGGCGCCGTGATCACTCCGTTGACGCCGTGTTCGCATAGATTTCATAACAAATGCATCCGTCAATGGGTCAGGAGAAAGAGAAACCAAACATGCCCTCTTTGCCGAGGCCCCATACATATGCGGAGTGTAATTAACTAGACCAATTTTGACCTCCCAATATTTGTTAATTAGATTATTGGCTACGGTACGTATTATGTAGTCAATCATTATTCAACAAATTAAATTCTCATGCATATACATAAAACAAATCCTAAGAGTTATTGTAGGGAGATTTACCCTTGGATATTAATCTTGTAATTTACTCGCTTTCAATTGGCCTGCTTCCCCAAAACTCCTGTCTTGCCGCCTCCATTTGAAGTGGTTCAGGCCGGTGTAGTTTTTTGATGAAATTTGTGAAAATGTTTTTCATGAATAGTAGATTGTGTCTATCAACTTTCAGTTCAAAATTGTATTCGGAGGAAGTCAGTTGAATAAATTATTGAAAAATTTTGTGTTTTTTTTGTACGGAGTATAATTTTGGCATAGTGTTTTTCAATAATTTATATAAGTCTTTTCACGATTGAGTTTTAAGCTAAACTTTTATGGACATAATCTACACTTCATGAAAAATATGTTCACAAAATTTCATAAAAGAATTCTCATGAAAGCACCTCAAATACAGGCAGCTGGGCGGGGATTCTGGTTAGGATGGCATGTCCCGAACATTACTGTATGTATAGGGAGTGGTTAAAATGAGAACAAATTTTAATCGCTCGTCTTAATTAATAAACGAATGAAGGATATGAAGTACACCTAATTTTGGTATGAATGTGTGCATAAAATCACGACCAATTACATAGTGCTACGTACCTCCGTCCCCCTATCATTGGGATAAAGTACGAATATAATGAATTAAAATTACACAAACTTTATCAAATATGGTATTAGACAAAATTAATGGGAAGAGTGGAAATGAAAAAACAGGACCATTATAATGGGACGGAAGAGTATATATTTATAATCAGTGCAACGTTTAGATGATTAATAAGGATAGAATTGTAATTATTTGATTTTATAATGATCAGAACAAGATTACAAGAATGAATGCTACGGTTCCAACAATCCAACAATCCACTAATATAAGGCACGATTATATTAAATTGGAAGCATTTATCGAAGTAATGTGGTTCAAACTTGAAAAGAACTAAATTGTGGTCATCAATTTTTTGTGCAAAAGTTGCATTGAAAGATCTAAATTTAATTTGTTGCAAGAAGGGCGCATGAACCTTATTCAACACACAACAATCAATATCTAGGGCAGATGAAGAAGTAACACATATGGAAGTAACACATTCGTACGCACATATACAGAGTGATAAATACGGAGTAATAAACATATGTAAATTATTCATAACAGCTATATAACGTACAAGAACAAGTATCTAACACACAATCATTGATTTATAATTTTATATGAAGAAGCTTCTTACACATAGTTCATATTAGGGATGGCCACATCCGTTTGGTTTAAATGAACCAAATCATACCAAATCAAATTAAACCGAACCGAAATTGATTTGAGTTTGATAGTATTTTTCCCAAATTGTATTAAATGGAACCGAACCGAAATCGATAAAAACAGAACAAAACCGAACCAAACTAAAGAAGTTCAATAAAACTCTGTTATATTTAATACTCCGTATAATTTGCCACAGCTGTAGATATAGGTATTTTGAAAATACATGAATCTGGATGGGTCACAAACTTATTAGATATCTAAGTGGATGGTATCTAATAAGTTATACCTACTATTGGATTTGAACCAATGACTCCCGCCATATGAAAGCAGTACTCTAACCGCTGAGTGAAGTAGATATTTTCTTATGCTAAAGAGAACACAATAAAATCCCTCCAATCAATGGATTATAAATATTCTATTCCAGATAAGCCAAACCTCTCAAACCTTTTTGATATTTGCCTATAATATTCATCTTTACAATAATTTATCTACATGATAAAATAATAACTGTGGAGAGCTCTTCATGTTCTTATTCAAAGAGACTTAATTATAGAAACTTATCAATTAATTAGAAAGTGTTTTCAAGTTCATACAAACTCCTAAATATTTTCCCCAATTCTTTATTCTAAATACATCAAATTTTCTTTGTTTAGTATTCTTTTGTAAACAAAGATTCTTAATCGATAAAATGTGCATATTCATTTAATTAGTAACTAGTTTGAGATTTAATAAACTTTGAATTGTTTTCATTGAAAAATGTATATATTGACTAACTAGTTTAATTTCTTATAACTTTATAGTGCTATTTTTTTAGTTTATGAATTATGATTAACATTTTCAATTATTTTTTTAACTAATTTAAAATAATGTTTTTGTATTTTTATTTTGATTTTTTACTATATTATGGTTATATTAATACATAATTAGTTTGAGAATTTTACACCTTACCAAAAACTTTGCTAGCATAGACGTGTTTTTTACAAAAAAAAAAAAGAACCGAGGACTCGGACCGAACCGACCCTTTATATGTAAGGTTTGATTCATATTTCAAGATTCAGTATACACGGATCGAGCCTACCCGATAAATGGAACCGGCAGCTCATAAATAATTATCAATTACCCGATCAACCCGAACCACACCAACCCCTAGTCTGGTCTGGTCTATTATGCAACATCAATTGACGGACCAGCGTTGCCAGGTTGGCAATCCGCAGGTTGTTACAAGTCGTGGTCAGGTCTCCCGCTCCGCTCCCTAAAACCCCATTTTCATTTCTGCTTGCGCGCTTCTTCCTTTCTCTAATTCTCTCTCAGAAACAAAACCCACAGACAGATCAAGAAGATTTCGGACCGTTTGTAATCGGACCGTTGGCAATCCGCAGGTTGTTACAACTCCATCACCAAGTCGTCGGTCTCCTGCGCTCTCTATATATTCGAACTTGACCGTTGCCTCATCTTGAAAACCCCATTTCTCCTTTTCAGACAGAGTGTCCGGCCGGAGTTCAAGATCGAAAATCTCGTTTTGAAGGTGATCTGAGCTTGTAGAAGCACGCCTTGTTCCAATATTTCCCATAAATTTGAACTTGACTGTTACATCATCTTTAAAACCCCATTTCTCAATTACAGACAAAGTGGACGGCCGGAGTTCAAGTTCGAAAATCTCGTTTTGAAAGTGATCGGAGCTCATCAACGTCGACGCACGTCTTGTTCCTGCCTGTAGCTTTCGCAATCCAATCTTTTCTTGAATACCCTCTTAATTTTTTAGTCCGATCCAAGAGCGCGCCTTTTGTTTTTACTTTCTTGATCAATTCTATGATGAAAAGCACAGCGTTTTTTACTTTCTTGATCGATCGATGCACGAATTCTGAAAACAGGGAAATCTTCTGTCTCTCCGGAGTTCAAGATCGAAAATCTCGTTTTGAAGGTGATCGAAGCTCCTCATAGTCCTCAACGACCACACTCTGACACAAGCTTTGTTCATGCGGTAATTAACTCTCGCAATCCAATCTCGTTAATTTTTTAGATGCTCAGTCCGATCCAAGAGCTTTGTGTTGTACTTGATTGATTCTATGATGAAAAGTACCCTGTTTTCTAAAATACTTTCTTGATTCTTTGATCGATCCATGCATGTTTATAGCTAGATTTTTTGCTCTGAGAGCTTTTGATTTATTGTACACCCAATTTTAATTATATTTGTTTTTTTATTCGAATATGAAATCTGTTTTGGGGTCTTTGGGAGCATGAGAGCATCTCCTGCAGAATCTTGACTAACTTTGCGTCTCTTTGGCTTCAACTTACATATTGTAAAGTTGTTCCCATTATTTCCATATTTTGACTTTATCCACAACCGTGGATTCACTTTAAATTTCGTTTCAACTGGGTGTTTTTCTGTTGGCCATTATTTTAAAGCTGATTTGCTATTGCAGCAAACAAAATTAATAGATTCCATACCACTTCTCAACAAACTTACTCAAACAGAAAACTAGTGTTAATATTTGGTCTTCATTTTATAGGACTTCTATTCATAATTGCCATACCAGTCTGTAACCACATTGTTACTGCAAGTAAGCTATTAGGAGACAAGCTTCTACCACCGTTTTTATTTGAAAAAAGTCATTTTAATTTGGTTCTTTTCTGAAGTAGTAGCAGATTGATATTGTGATACACGATAACCATAGAGTTTCAGTTTTTATTATGTGCATGAGATAGTATGTTGTCTGGAGTCTTTATAAATACATGAAATATGAAGTCATTAGCTGGTTGAAAAGGATTACTATGCTGCAAGGGAATTCTCGACCTCTCAATTGTTTAACATCAAAAAAATCCTGCAGGTCGGTGTTATGGCAGCACTTGCAACCTTTCCCCGCAGTGCCACAAATCTTGCAAATAGAGCATGTAGTAAGACTTCCAACCTTGCCGAGAACAACATTTTCGGCACTGTGTTGTCTGTATGCACAACACGGGGTAAATTTCCCTTCTTTTTCAATTGCAATACATGTCCGAGTCCAGAACGGGCTTACTGAATGACTCTTGTTTCCCTGCAGAAACCCAGGGCACGGAATATGTAGCCATTGCAAGTTTGTTACAGTCGGTGATTGTGACAAAAGGTTTTATCTGTTTCGTTTACTGTCTTACACTTGTCGCTTCACATCTTTACCTCAAATGTATGTGTCATTGCATTCAATTGGTCTTTTAACATGCACCTCATTGGGGTAATATTTGTTACAGTTGCTTTGATTCCAATATTATGCCAATTCATCAAACAATATTGTTGCCAAGGTGTAACTTTAGCAGAACCTCTTTATACACAGGCAAGATTCAAAAGTAAGAAGTTTCTTTTATATTATTGGAGTAGATTACAACGTGCGAGCATTTTCTGAATAGAACCAAAACATACATTGCATCTTATATTGAGACGGAACTAGCAACTAATTGATGCTCTAGGCTTTGGGCATAAATGATTCTAATACGTATATGCTGAGCTGATCCAACATTCAAACTGGATTTAGACTACTGAACACTGTTATGCCAAATTTCACAAAGAAAAAAAAAAGAAGAAAAGAGTGTTTTTTGTTTTTTGTGATTCACATAGATTACTATGTGTGAGCATTTTCTGAATAGAACCAAAGCATACATTGCATCTTATATTGAGACGGAATTAGCAACAAATTGATGCTCTAGGATTTGATGATCTGATACGTAAATGATTGTAATACGTATATGCTTTCGTTGACATGCCAAATTTCACAAAGACAAAAAAAGAGTGCTTTTTGTTTTCTGTGATTCACCTGATTTTTTGATATCCAAGTGAAGAATGGGCAGTACCGATTTATGCTTTCGTTGACATGTCTGCAGGAGGTACTTTGATCAGGCTTTTTGCATGGGTTCAGTCCTGCAAACTCCTTTGAGGAGGACAGTTTTGGGGTGGATGTTTTCTCCATCCAGTCGGATAAATCTTTTCAGGTGAACGGATGCTCTATTTTCTATGTGCATTTCTGGAGTGCTACCCATCGCATTCATGCTACTTTTTCTTGCTTACTATTAATCTGGATTTAATGGAAGTCAAAGTTGTCTCAAGTCTCCTTGTACGGCAATGGTGACATAGCAACATTGCCAGAAACCAGGTATGTATTACTACGCCAATATTGTTGAAGCAACTTACTTCTTCGGTCGACATTTTCACCCTTTATTAACAATTGATTCCTAATGACAATCTGTGCTTGTCTAGTATCGTCCCGGCCCAATCTTCAGAACAATTTTGCACAAAAAATAACAAAATCCCTCCAAGTGACTTCAAGCACTTGAAAATAAGTCACTTGAAAAAAACACAAAAAGATCTGGATAATAAAATTATGTTGAGAACCCCAACTGTGAAGAAATATTCTAATTTGAGTAAAGGATTTCAGCTCATTCAATACTATAATAATTAATAAAAGTTTATTTGTTGCCTTCCACTCTACAGACTCGACTTGCTTCATAGCTTTCTTTCCTGAAATTCTTCTTGATGGTGGTCATACTGCAGTATCTCCGCCAGAAGAAATCATTTAGATGTAATAAACCGATGCTCTGTTTTTCTAGTTCAAGACTCCACCATATCTGATGCTCTGTTTTCTATGTAATAAACCGGTCCTGTTATTTAGTATCGTGACACTTTCATTTATGCGGCTACCTGTTTTCTTGATTACTTGCCTCTGGCCTCTGGATCTCAAGTCTCCTTGTACAATGGTGACATAGCGGCATTGCAAGAAATCAGGTAACTACACCAATATTGTTGAAGCAGATTACTTCTTAATCCCAGCCACTTCAATGAGCATCTTCAGAACAATTCTGCACAAAAAAATTAGATTGAATTATGTTGAGAACCCCTACATTGCAAACAGAGTTACCCTATTTACAAATTGATATATAGCGGACATAGTTAAATAATAAAATCTAAAAAGTAAAAAAACAAAACTTTCGTATATAATTTTTTAATAAATCAACCTCTGTCTCCTTAATAATTAAATGATCAATTTAATCATTTAACTCATTATATAACATGTGTCTAAAAACATTTAGGGTTAAAAGCTTACGATATAAATAGGGTTTCGGAATTGAGGCATAGGGTTGAGAATTTAGGGTTTACAGTTATGAATTTAAGTTCAGGTTTGTTTACGAATTAGGGTTTAGGTTTTAGCATTTAGGGATTTTGGTTTGGGAATTAGGTTTTAGTGTTCAGGTTTTAGGAATTAGGGTTTAGGGTAAGGAATTAGGGTTTAGCATTTAGGTTTTATGAATTAAGGTTAGGTTAGGAATTAGGATGTAGGGCAGTTAGGGGTTAGAAATTAGGTAATAGGGTTTTTAGGGTTTAAGAATTAATAAGGAATTAGGAATAAGGGGGTTTAGAGTTAGGAATTAATAGGATTTAGGTTTAGGGTTTAGGGTTAAGAATTATAATTTAGGGTTTAAGAATTTATTAGGAATTAGGGGTTTAGAGTTTAGGAATTAAGATTTAGGCTTAGGGTTAGGGTTTAGGATTAGGAATTATGTAGGACACTTAGGAGTTAGAAATTAGGTAATTTAGGGTTTAAATTAGGAATTAGGGTTTAGAGTTAAGGAAATTAGATTTAGGGTTTAGAAATTAGGAATTAGATTTTAGAGTTTAGAAATTAGGAATTAGATTTTAGGAATTAGGGGGAATTTAGATTTTAGGAATTGGGGGATTTAGAAATTAAGAATTAGGGATTTTATAGTTAAGGAATAGATTTTAGGTGAAGGAAAGTAGCAGTGGGGTCAGGGCGGTGGGTCGGGGGAATAAACGGTAGGTGGGTCAGGGAAAATAACGGTGGGTCAGGGAAAATAACGGTGGTTCAAGGAAAAATAACGGTGGGTCAGGGAAAATAACGGTGGGTCAGCGAAAATAACGGTGGGTCAGCGAAATTAACGGGGGGTCAGGGAAATTAACGGTGGGTCAGAGAAATTAACGGTGTGGGTCAGGAAATTAACGGTGGGTCAGGGAAATTAACGGTGGGTCAGGGAAATTAACGGTGGGTCAGGGAAATTAACGGTGGGTCGGGGAAAATAACGGTGGGTCAGGGAAAATAACGGTGGGTCAGGGAAAATAACGGTGGGTCAGGGGAAAATAACGGTGGGTCAGGGGAAAATAACGGTGGGTCAGGGGAAAAAACGGTGGGTCAGGGGAAAAAACGGTGGGTCAGGGAAAATAACGGTGGGTCAGGGAAAATAACGGTGGTTCAAGGAAAATAACGGTGGTTCAGGGAAATAACGGTGGGTCAGGGAAAATAACGGTGGGTCAGGGAAAATAACGGTGGGTCAGAGGAAAATAACGGTGGGTCAGGGGAAAATAACTGGGTCAGGGGAAAACGGTGGGTCAGGGGAAAAACGGTGGGGGAAAAAAACGGTGGGTCAGGGGAAATAACGGTGGGTCAGGGAAAATAACGGTGGGTCAGGGGAAAATAACGGTGGGTCAACGAAAATAACGGTGGGTCAGCGAAAATAACGGTGGGTCGGGGAAAATAACGGTGGGTCAGGGAAAATAACGGTGGGTCAGGGAAAATAACGGTGGGTCAGGGAAACTAACGGTGGGTCAGGGAAATAAACAGTGGGTCAGGGGAAAATAAACAGTGGGTCAGGGGAAAAATAAACAGTGGGTTGGAAATAAACAGAGTGGGCCGGAAAAATTAACGGTTTCCTTCCCTAATTCCTAAAACCTAAATCCTAAACCCTAATTCCCTAAAATCTATTCCTAAACACTAAACCCTAATTTCTAATCCTACTTTGTAATTCCTGAACCCTAAAATCTATTCCTAATTTCTAAATCTTAATTCCTAATTCCTAAACCCTAAACCCTAAATCCTAAAAAACCTAATTCCTAAACTTTAATTCCCTAATTCTGAAACCCTAAAATCTATTTCTAAGCCCTAAAACCTAATTTATGAACCCTAATTTCCTAACCCTAAACCTTAATAATTCCTGAACCCTAAACCCTAATTTCTAATTCCTGAACCCTAAAATCTCTATTCCTAATTTCTAAATCTTAATTCCTAATTCCTAACCCTAAACCCTATTCTTAAACCCTAAATCCTAAAACCTAATTCCTAATTTCTAAATCCTAAACCCTAACTCTAATTCCAAAACTAAACCCTATTCTTAAACCCTAAAAAACCTAATTCCTAATTTTGAAACCTTAAATTAAACAGTAAAACTTAACTTCTAAAGTCTAATTCCTACACCCTAAAATTAATCTAATTTCTAAACCTTAAACCCGAAATGCTAAACCCTAAACCATTAACCTGAAACTCCAATTCCGAAATCCTAAGCCTAATTCCTAAACCCTACCCTAATTCCTAAACCCTGAATTCCTAAACCTTTAATCCTAATTTAAGACACATATGTTAATTTTCAGACCTTGTATAATATTTATACTGTATGTGTTAAATGATTAAGGTTTATGTTTATAGTCTTATTTGTAGATTATTTTACCTTTTTAGTGGTACACTTGTAAGATTTTATTATATATTTGGTTATCAATTTGTAAATATTGTAACGGGTGTTTGCAATGTTTTTAACAAATTTTATATGTTATTATTTCGGCACTCCTATAAAAGTACTCTGGTTCTGCAGCCCCGCACTCCCCACTCCCCTGCTGTGTGATAGTCTACTTCTCACAATCTCACTTCTCAAGCTTGTGGTCTTGTGGGATTTCTGGCTAATTGGCTACCTTCCATAGCTGGTAATCGCCCTAGCCCCCAATAACAGGTAAGTCATGCACTCATATAGTGTTTATTCTTTAGTTTTTATTTATATTTAAATGGATCTTGTGTGTAGGTGTAGTACTGATATTATTATTTAAATCGTAATTATTAGTATACTAGTATTTAGGATTTATTTAAAGCACTGCAATTCAAGTTCATAAGTTTGTGTTGAACGTCGTGATTTCTTCTCTAATTAATTATTATTGTTGTTAAATAAGCTGAAATCATTGGCTCGAATTAAAATATTTTTTCATAGTTGGTGTTCTCTACAGAATTTAATTAATCTAATCGTTATGTGTTTTCTTAAGTGATATGAAAAATATTTTATCCACTTGAATCGTCAATTTTGCAAGAAGCAATATTGTTTCGAAGATTGATCATTATCAATGACATACATACTATTTCAATCACTACATACTATTTCAATCACTTGGAGGGAATTTTGTCATTTTTCTGCAGAATTGTTCTGAAGATGCATTTGCAACAGATGATTGAATATTTTGGATCTCTTTTCATTAACACTCACTCCAGTGGTTAATGTGTATGATCTCTTAAGAGTTCTAGAAGACTAATATCTAATATTTGTAATTAGGAATCAATTGTTAATAAATGGTGAATATGTCGATAGAAGAAGTGTTCTGCCTCAACAATATTGGCGTAGTAATACATACCTGATTTCTTGCAATGCTGCTATGTCACCATCATTGAAGAACAAGGAGACTTGAGATGAGATCCAGATGTAATGAGACAACTTTGACTTCCATTAAATCCTAAAACGGTTAAGAGTCTCCTTTACTTGCTCAAAGGAATGGCGTTCATCTGCTGTCCCTAATTTGGATGAAGATGGCCTTAACCTTCTGGCGGAGATGCTGAACCATCAAGAAGAATTTAAGGACTGACGAGAAAGTCCAATCTCAGATTGTGAGGACAGAGTATCTTAAGTGTACTAGTATTGGTCTAAACCCTACTACACAAAGCCTGATCTTTGTAGTATCTCCTGCAGACATCACGGAAAGGATACATCAGTACTGCCCAAGTAAAGGCACCCTTTTTTTCCTATGTCTTTGTGAAATGTGGCGTAACTGTGTAATGCCAATTAATAGTCTAAAATTAGTTTGATTGATTTTTATACTACAAGTTCGGGGGGTGGGGGTGGGGGAAACAGCTCAGCACATACGTATTAGGATCATTTATGCCTAAAGCAGCATCAATTTGTTGTAATGTTTATTTTGGTTCTATTCAGAAAATGTTCCCACGTAGTAATCCTCTTCAATCATATGAAAGAAAATTCTAACTTTTCATCAAAGGGAAACAGTGCAGTTAAGCCTTGCCTGTATAAAGAGGTTCTGCTAAAGTTAGGAACTTTGCAATGTTCGATGCCTTGGCATGGTATTGGAATCAAAGCAACTGTAACAGATATTTCCCCAATGAGGTGCATGTTAAAAGTCCAATTGAATGTAATGACACGTACATTTGAGGCAAAGATGCGAAGAGACAATTGTAAGACAGTAACAGATAAAACCTTTTTGTCACAATGCCTGCACATATTCCATGCCCTGGGTCTCTGCAGACGTAACAACAGCATTCAGTAAGCATATACCAAGCCTGTTCGACTTGGACGACTTGGACATGTATTACACTGGAAAAATGAGAATTTACCCCATGTTGTGCATAAAGAGAACACAGTGCCGAAATTGTTGTTCCCGCAACACCGAACATAGTACTCCTTCACAACCTGCATAAAGAAGACACAAAACAACATATTATTTCAGAAGTACTCAGTCATTAGAAGATTCAGAATGTAAAAACTATGTGAACAAGCTTCTACAGACTTCCAACTTATTTTGAAGTAAGCGATAGATTGAACAACACATCTTATATCTTTCTAGCAGTAGTAATGCTATTACATATTGGTACTGGCAATTTATGCACAAAAGATGCTACAACATGTAACGAATACAAACAGTGACTTCTAACGCAGAATAAAAGTCCTATAAAATGAAGACCAAATATTAAAGCAATTTGAAGAAATCAAGTAAATGCACGATCGATTATATTCACAACAAATTTTTGTTTGAGTTAGTTTCTTGAGAAGTGGAATGGAATCTATTAATTTTATTTGCTGCAAATCAGCTGAAACACCCAGTTGAAACGAAGCCCAGTAAAAAGTAAATCCAACGTTGTCAAAAAAGTCAAAATATGGGAATTATGATTTATGGGAACAACTTCACAGTATATGAAGCCTCGCTGCAGTATGTAAGTGGAACCCAAAGAAACGCAAAGATTCTGGAGGAAATGCTCGCAAAGACCCAAAAACAGATTTCATCCTCGAATAAAAAAACAAATCAAATTAAAATTGGGTCTTCAATAAATCACAACTTCCCAGAACAAAAAATCTAGCAATAAGCATGCATGGATAGATCATAGAATCAAGACAGAATTTCAAAAAAATGGCACTTTTCATCATAGAATCAAGAAAGTACAACAAAGCTCTCTGAAAAATTAACAGGCTATTCAAGAAAGATTGGATTGCGAGAATTACCGCAGGAACTAAGCCTGTGTCAGAGTGTAGACGTTGACTAGCTTCGATCGCCTTCAAAACCTCTCTGTCTGTCTGGGTTCTCTTTCTGAAAGGGAGGAAAAGGGTTTTAATGATTTAAAGATTTGTGCAAGTTATTAACAAGTCCAGAGAGACAGAAGATTTCCCTGTTTTCAGATTTCATGCGCGGATGGAATTGATCGAAAAAGTAAAAAACGCTGTACTTTTCATCATAGAATTGATCAAGAACATAAAAACACAAAGCGCGCTCTTGGGTCGGACTGAGCATCTAAAACATTAACAGGGTATTCAAGAAAAGAATGGTTTGTGAAAATTACCGTCAGGAAAAGGGCGTGCGTCGACGTTGACGAGCTCCGGTAAGCTTCAAAACCAGATTTCCGATCTTGAACTCCGGCCGGCCACTCTGTCTGAAAGGGAGAAATGGGGTTTTAAAGATGAGGCAACGGTCATGTTCCAATATATAGCTAGATAGCGCCCAGGAGAGACCGACGACCTTGTGATGGAGTTGTAACAACCTGCGGATTGCCAACGGTCCGATTTCAAACGGTCGGAAATCTTCTTGATCTGTCTGTGGGTTTTGTTTCTGAGAGAGAATTAGAGAAAGGAAGAAGCGCGCAAGCAGAAATGAAAATGGGGTTTTAGATTCCTCCAATATAGCGGAGCGGGAGACCTGATCACGACTTAGAAACAACCTGCGGATTGCCAACCTGGCAAGTTCGAACATAAATACAGTATAGAAGTACTCCGTAAAATAAAAACGCACATTAGATATTACTCCCTTTAAAATAAAAATTAATTCTTACATATTTATTCCATACAATAACATCCACCACATGTCTTAATATTATTAGATATTTATTCCATGTCAGCTATTCATTTAAAAAATTATTATTGAAAAAGTGATTCTTGGAGTATCCGTCATTTGCCGTGGTGGAACCAGAGAAATTTCTTAGGGGTGTTGTATATAGTGCGGTTAAATTTTTTTAATATAAATGGTAAAATATTGTCCCTCTATTTTTTTTGTCTTCCCTTTCCATTTTAGGTCGTCCTAAAGTATTGTCTCAAATCACGTCTTGTTATATTTTGTAGCTCCAAATCATCTTCATTTTTCGAAATTCAATAATCACATAGCTCACTTTTCCTTATGGATACCATTTCAATTTTTAGGATTGTCAACCAATTCAATTCAAATATACAATTTTAAAATCATTACCTAGACCAATAATCCCAAGAGAATGAAATTGGGGCCTCTATATGTATAGAGAGAGAGTCGTGCTCGTGTCAGGACAGCTTGACCGGGATCGTCGTCCGACCAAGCCCATTTTAGAGGCTTTCGGGTAGATTTGTTTGATGAACTTTTGTGAGGATGCTTTGTATGATGTGTAGATTATTTTCACAATATTTCAGTTTAAGATTATATTCAATCTGGAAGTTAGTTAGTTAAATAAATTATTGAAAATAACTTCGCTTTTATATAAAGCGGAATTGTGGTGTGTTTAAATTTGGGGTAGAAATGATGAGTCTATGGTGTGTTTAGGACTGAAATTGTTGGTTGTTATCTGTGATAAATATTTGAGGATGCTCTGGATGGTTTGAGCAAGGCTTGTGGCAGGCTGGTATGATGACCTTCCCAGGTCTTACCAAGCATTAGCCCAGGTCTTTGGATGGTATGTATGTTTGGTTGGTATTGTTCTATGTTGTGATGACCATTCAAGGTATGAACAAGGCCTGTGGTAGGCTGGTATGATGACCTTCCCCGGTCTTACCAAGCATTAGCTCAGGTCTTTGGATGGTATGTATGTTTGGTTGGTATTGTTCTATGTTGTGATGACCATTCCAGGTCTGAGCAAGGCCTGTGGCATGCTGGTATGATGGCCTTCCCAGGTCTTACCAAGCATTAACCCAGGTCTTTGGTGTTGGAAATATGCCCTAGGACAATCATAGTTTATGATTTATCAATAAATATTTAATGCTCATTAATTAATAAAGTTGCAAACTCATTTTATGTTAATTATTATTGTGAGTTTTCTTTATTAATATTTAGTCCCTGAATATTCTGTTTAGTAGCTAATTAAGTATGTGACTTAATTGTGGAATGCTACACTTTAAAATAAACATAATATTCTAATTGTCCCTGGTCTAATATTATTAATTTGGGACATTAATAATTAATATACCAGTATGTGGATTAACTGATGGCTATATTCCACTAGTCATGGGTATAGAGATATCAAGTTAATAACATAGATGCTTGTTAGGGAACAAGTTCATTGGACAGACCCAACTTGGGGACACTGCTAGGTTATATGTCATCAGTGTTGTCCTCAATAATGATGAGGTGCTATATTCTTATACTTGAGATAATCATGGTTACTAGCATGAGAATTAATTTAATATGAATTAACACCATTAAATGTTATCTTTAACTGGGTAATTATAAAGGTGGTGATTGTACATATTATGAACCATGTAGTAGTATGTGAATTATCAAGATAGTTTTTGTCACTCTTGTACATCGAGAGAAAGATATCTATTGGGCCCCTTGACAAGTAAGATTAATTAGCATGGCCATGCTCAAATGAGGTGTCATTTGATCAAGATTAATCTTACTTGGTAATCAAGAAATATTAATTGAGAATAACAAGGATGACACGACCTAACCTTGTCTCAATTAAGATATCGTTTGACAAAAGAGAATTGTTAGCACAAATTAATCATTAAAAGGTTATGTCAGATTTAATTGACATTTATATATTTTGGATAGTCATAATGCCTTGCTAGAGACCGCTTATGATTTGTGAAGCTCGAATTAATTTCTAGCCCACTACCAATAATATATAAACCTACAGGGTCACACACCTAAGTGATTTGGATCATTAATGTTTGTTAATAACATTAAAATAGCTTGATTAGCCCAATTCGAAATAGGTTTTCGAATGGTATTGGGCTAGGGCCTCTTTAAGGGTTTTATTAGCCATAAAACCCCTTCTTTACTCCTCTTATAAATAGGGCTAAGGAGACCCACGAATTTGAAGAGTTAAAATTCACTTCTTAAACCTAGAGTAGAGAGGAAGAAAGAAGAGAACGCTAGCACGTTCCCTGCGGCCGATCCAGTCACGTGCGTGTGGATACCAGTAGAGCTCGGGATCGTTTTCTCGGACTGTCTGACATCCCTGATTAAGATTGTTATGTAAGTCCCTCTTAAATTCTTGTAATTTCGTTTATAATAAGAACCTCAGATCCATTTGTTTACTTTTGGGTAGTAAAAATTTTTGTTTATTCCGCTGCGTTTTTCTGCCCAAAACCCAACAGTGGTATCAGAGCCTACGGTTCTTTATTATACTCGGGTTACACGATTTAATGTATAATCTATAATTTGATTATTTTGGGATTTATTTTCGGAATTAATTTTTATTAATTTCGAAATTATTGATTTATTAATTTCGGAATTATATATGTGTATATTATATTCCGAATTTTTGTAAGGATGTGATATTCGAATAATTCGAACTTGATCCAATATATATTCACAATAATATTTGGAATGTTTTGTGATAATATTTATTTTTACAGATCAGATCTGAATAGATTAGGAACTGGATGGAATCCTACAGCCTAATTATTCAGGAGAGATCTGAATGGACATAAAAATTCAAGAGTTTGAATTAGATCCAAGTTAATACTCATAATTTATGTTAAGAATATTTTATGATATTATTCATTAATTTTCGGATCAGATCTGTATTGGATTAAGAAATTTATTTTTCGTAGGTACGATATACTCCATATTTTTTGGCAGTGTATTCGTACCTAATGTGGTTTCCCAATCTATTTTTATATTGATATCAAAAGTTAGTAATCTGCTTTGTATTAAGATTTAGATTTGGTTTTGATATTGAGGTATGAAAGATCTAAAATATATTCTGCCTATAGTTGATTTCCGAATTTGAAATCAATAAAAGATTGAATTTGAATTAGGTTATATTCAGAATATTATTTTATTTTGGGAGATTTGGTTTCTAATTTTTTGGATGAGATCTGAATTATTTTTGCAACCTCTGGCTGATGAGCTGTTTTGTGTATCGTACAATCTTGTTTTGGCCGTAACTTTTGACTCGTTAATCCATTTTCGGTCCATGAGTACTTTTCGGAAACGGGAAGACGAGCTCTACACAAATCAAAGCAAAGCCATGAAAAATTCTCCCATATTATAATTCGAATGGTTTGATCAAGTATTCTGCCAAATTCGAATTTTAGTGCATTATTTTTCTATTCGTAGTTATATATGTGTATTAATCTATATTACGGATATGATCTGTATTAGTGCATATATAATACGAATTATTTTAGAATTCATTAACTATGTATTTTATTTTTCGGATGAGATCCGAATTAATTACATATTACTTGCGGATTTTAAATTTAATTTTCAATCCGTGCATGCACAATTATTTTGCTCCGCCACAGGGACAGCTTGAAGTGGTGGTGTAGCATGATCTGAATGTATGTTTTATATTATGTTGTTTTACGGCCTGCGTGCCGTTTCCCACTATCCCCTGTAATGGTTTTCAACCCCGTAGATTTTTAGTAGTACACTGCACAGGTTGAAGATGTCAAGGAGATATGAAGATTTTGGGATCATGCTATATCACTGCACTAGTTTTAAATTATTTATTTAAATATTTGATTGCTGCATGTGTGTAATTATTAGTCCCGACTAATTATAAGTCTAAATTGCTTTCCCAATATGACCACCATTTAAAATATGCTAGTCGTGATATGTGTCTGCCAAAGCAGAGCATTTCACACTATCTTAGGAAGATGTTTTGAATGATCGTCATTCTCGGGTCTTAATATTGGTTTGGACTTACAAGGCCATCAAAATGGTTTTGGGCCTTGAAGCAAGGAGTGTTTGGATAATCAAATGATGTTGACCAAACAAACCAAGAGTCATATAGGATATGATTAACAAGAGTTGTTTACCTAAATAACTAATTTTTAAGTGATAAGCCAAAGCTTACTTAAATTTTAGTGAAATATGGATCTTGGACCACTATATTTGGGACTTTCTATTTAATATAGTGGGAGTTATTTTTTAGCATTATTTAAAATTCTTTGCATTATTTGTTGTAGTAAATATGGCCGCCAACACAACTTTTTCACTGCGATCTATCCTTGAGAAGGAAAAACTTAATGGAACAAATTACATGGACTGGGATAGGAATCTGAGAATCGTTCTCAAACAAGAGCGTAAAGAATATGTCCTTGACCAACCAATTCCTGCTGAACCAGCGGCCAATGCTGCTAGAGCCATTAGAGATGCTTATGAAAGGCATGTCCGTGATGAAGTTGATGTCACTTGTCTTATGTTAACTATCATGGAAGCTAATCTTCAGAAACAGTTTCTGAATCGTCGTGCACATGACATCTCTAATGAACTCAAGAACTTGTTTCAGAAACAAGCACGGATCGAAAGGTTCGAGACGACCAAAGCTTTCTTTCACACAAAGCTTACTGATGGAAACCCGGTTGGACCTCACGTGCTCAAGATGATTGGGCTTAGGGATCACCTGGAAAGACTTGGATCTCCAATTAGTCAAGAGTTGGCTACTGATGTGATTCTCGCATCACTCACTCCGGCATATGACCAGTTCATCATGAACTATAATATGCATG